ACACACACACACACACACACACACACACACACACACACACACACACTAAATAAATAAAACCATTTGTTTTTTCTTTAAGCCTGATCCAGTTCATAAACATCTTTGATATGGGTTGGTATTTCATTTATTTCTGAAAGCAAAATTTCTGCATGTGAATACTATACTGAATATTTACCAAGTACCACACATACCATATAGAATATGGCTAAATGTCATGGTGTGATTGTTGTCTGTGGTATGAAAACCATGCAACAAGCTTTTGAATTCCTATTTTGCCTATCTGTTCGTAAGGCTAAGTTATGTTTTCAAACTGATGCTTTCATTATATCTGTCAGTATATGAAAGCGGTTGCTGAGCATGGCCATCTGGCACAGGAACTGAAATTTATCATTTGCATATCAACAAATAAGCAGAATTTCATAACTATGAACTAAAACATAATTAATGATTTTGTGGATTATTCTTCCCTGAGCTAGACATTAACTGGAGTAGTCTCCTATGTAGTCATATGCATCTATAATTGCATACCTAAGCTGTGATAATTCCCCAACTGTTACCCATTTACAGTTTTCCTCAATTCTGTTTATTTACTCTCAAAAATCAATTATGACAAGAGTAAGCCACATAAGCACATTAAATAGCTTCATGAGAAAACTTAATAAATAATAATTGATAGAGGCAAAGGTATCTCTACTAGATGTATACAATGCATTTCAGATGTGTAATAAGACCATCAGGAATACAATTAAAAGTTATTGACATGCATAGTGCGAATTCCTATTACAACACAGAATAGCACGTGAAAGTAAAACTTAATTTTGTATTATGCATTTCAAAAGACCAATAATATATACATCTATCATACATGTATAGATAAGTATCTATGCAGCATGTAAACTTACCTATATGTGTGTATGGATGGATAGACTGTAGATAATATGTAGTCAGGCGCACAACTGCATTAACAAGAATGTTGACTTTCACATGTTTATCTAGCTTGCTAGTAGTACATATTATGCTTTTTGATAATAGAATGCTTGCTGTCTTAAATATTTCCTACCATTTGAATAAAACCAGACCAATTTTCATAGCAGTCTATAGATATTACCAGCTTCTAAGATGTCAGGAGGACAATGTAACCTGTCCTGGCACTAAAAATTTGCTTTTTTTGTTTTGTTTTGTTTTGTTTTGAGAATTCATTTCACACTATCCCTAGAGCAAAACAGAAATCATTTTGGCATATAAGACCTTAATTTATGTATAGTTTTTCTCTATTCTGAAAGCCTTATTGGTACATTAATATAGATGAATGTGCCAGGGAGTGCATATGCCTAATATAGAGACAGCTGCTACATAGATACGGAGGGACACTTGCTACCAGGACAAGAGCCCTGCCAGGTTGATAGTCCCAAGCATCCAGAAAGCACAACAGAGGACAGGAGGTCAGAGCAGACATTGCATGAAATATCAACACATTTGGACACCAGAGGCTGGTGAACAATCACTACAGGTGCTTTGAATTTCCACCCTCATGAGATGGAACCTGAAGGTAGTCAGAGTGTCTCTTATTAATATGATATCATAGACATTCAGGAAATCACAGAATGAGTTGTTTGACTAGAGTTGATGGATATTTAACTTTTTGATTCTGTTTCCATGGCTTTCTACTAGACAAAGCTCATTTTGCATAATTGAAGGGTTCAGTGTTTGCATATGCTCATATTTTCATATTAAGCAATATTCTGTGGTGCTCTAGCCAAAATATCAGACTCTCTCTCTTTCATTTTTTTTAATACTGTCTCCATCTTCTTGTAGCTTCTGTCTAGACTAACTGTTGTTTTAATCAGTCTGAATTTCACTCACCAAACGTTTGACTAAAACACTGACTGCCGGTTTTCACCGTAGGGTGGTCACAAGCCCTCTAGAGTTAGACACTGAGGTTAAATATTCCGCCTGCCTCCTGATAAGCTGTGGAAATGTGTACCGTAGATGCAATTTCTACTGGAAAACGTTTTTTGTTATAGTAAGCACACAGTTGTGCATTTACATTTATAGTCTTATTACAAAACTGGCATCACAATACATTGTGATACATATGTTCTTTATTAGTTGTATTTTAATCTTATTATTATTTTTTTTCTGTTCACACAGAACATAGATTGGGAGTCTATTCTTGAATTCAGTATTTTTTCCTTGTTACACACCCTGAAAACTTATACATTTTCAATAGTTTGGTAAAAAGTCACGTACCAGAAGACGTTTCCACTGTAGAGGCACACCATCAGCTTTGCACACACTCACAGCTTGCATATGTACCCATAAAATTTCAAAGTGACTCATAATTACAGTCATGTCAGTTTCTATTTTGAGTATCATCCTCTAAGTATGTAGCCTTAAGATCAAAGTCTCTTCGGTGAGAAAAAAAAAAAAACGTTCTTAAAATTTTTTCTTTCAATGAAATATGACAACACTATGCAGAAGGAAGAAATGGGACTAGAAGTGTGTGTGATGAGCTCTAAGTCAGACCTACAAATTCTGCCTCAGTATTACTCATACTATCCCCACACAGACCCTCGTCTGTCTCCTCTCACCCAGCTGTCTGCTCAGACCCGAACTCACATCCCCCACATTCTGTTCCCATTGGCAATGGTCACACTATTGAGTGACCCAGAATGACATTCCAGGTCAGGTCGGTTCCAGGTCAGGTCCGTTTTCAGTTGCCCTGGGTTTGAACCTGCTCCTGAGCCTTGCCAGTTTGGTTGGTGTTCTTGTCTTTGCTTCTTTTCTTAATTTCTAAAGTGATAACTTGGGGCGGGTTGAGCTCTGCTTCTTCCTAAGACTCTAGGGTGTTTGTTTGTTGTTTGATGTATTGCTAGGGTACCATCCATGCATAAACGCTACTTTGTGATAGTTGTCCCCATGTTAAAGAATAAATCACCCTGTCTCTTCCCTATGAAAAAGAAGTCAGAGACTGATGACTGACCTCATCTGAGATGATGGAGTTGCTCTGACGCGTCTCCAGGGAGAGCCTGTATTGGGCTCCTGGAGGAACCACACCAGCGCTTGGAATCTTAATCAGTATTGGCTTCACAGGAATCATGTGGAGAGGGTGGGTAGCAGCTTCTCAAGCAGGAGCCATTGCATACTGAAAATAAACAAGACACCTTCACATACTTGTACCTCAGAGAGGATGGGACTTAAAAGATGGGAGCCATCAAGAGCTCGGACAGCTAGACGTCAGTACCTGGCCACGCCTTGCCTCTCTTTCCAGCTTTATTTGGCTGTCAAGTGGAACTGGCAGAAGGTGCTTATCTTGTCTCTCTCTCTTTTGCTCTGCAGGACCCGGGTCGGTGAGAGGAATCAATGGATCCATCAGTCTGGCCGTACCACTGTGGCTGCTGGCAGCATCCCTGCTCTGCCTTCTCAGCAAATGTTAATAGAATAAAAATTTAAAAATAATTACAAAAACACACAAAAATGCGTCACACAGAAACAGAGAGAGAGAGAGAATGCAAAAAGGGGGGAGACTTATTTCACAAGTTTGTGTGTTTATAAATGAAGGGGGGGAAATGTGAAAATGAAGAAAATACAACACTAAAAACACTTTTAAGATCCATCAATAAAAAAATTGAGTATAATTTAGGGTGGGAAAAATCTCTACCAGAATATGTGTCTATCTTCTAAGCAAATGACTGCTGTGTAAAAAGACTCCATCATGCTAAAGATATCCGATGTTGTACAAATGAGACTATTCAAGAAGTACCAGATGGATATTAACTCCCCCACACACACACTTTATCCTTCCTTCATCCGTTTTCATCTGTGGGGAAAAAGAAGATCTTGCCTTTGGTGTTTATATTTCCATAACCTTTTTATTCTGTTTTTCATTTGAGCTAATGTGCAGCCATTTTGGACGATCAAAGGAAACCTATGTAGAGCCTTTCTCAGGCTCCGCTGCCTCCAACATCTCTCTAACCTTTGAGGACATCCCCTTTCCCTCCAGTGTGTTCTATCCCCACCACACCCATTCCAAACGTTCCCTTTTTCTCTACCCCCATCTCTCTTTACCCCAGCAACCCAGAACACTAGTCACGCCGCAAATGCTAGGAAGTGCCATTTTCATTTTCTTCACTGTGCGCGTGTGTGTGCTCAAGTCTCTCGCTCTCACGTAGGTGTACATGTGTGTGAGCGTGTATGTGTCTCTCTCTCTAAAGCATGCCAATGGAATGGTCCATGTGTACATAGACTCATTGTGCCGTAGATACTGTCCTGCATTGTAATTGTGAGATGCGGCTGTAACAAGTTGCTGGGGGAGATGGCTGGAGGGGAGGCAAGGAGCAGAATCCCTCCCCAATTCATGGCTGTCACATGACATCAGTGCGCATTCAAACCAAGCTGTGCTCCTTCTGTGGGCAGGACCCCATACCTCTCCTAGTCCCATTTTCAAAACCCCCAGTCAGGAGTCACTCAGAATATCACTGTAAATGAAAGTGCCTACTATCAATGGGGTGAGCAGACAGGGAACAGATCCGTGGCCTGGATGACATGACCTAGGAGAAGAAGACTGTTTATGATTTCACTCTTATTTTACAAGCCTGGGGGATTCATAACTTTTCTAGCTTTGTATAGGTTGAGTCCCATTGCAGAAATGAGCAACATGTATTGAGCAGGTCTCCAGAAACAAGAAAGTCTCTGAGTGGTAACTCCCATGGGAAAGAGGAGCTGATGAAGATCCTATGCAGGCCTGTTTTGTCCCCTCACTAATCTTCAGCTAACACTGCATTTGCCCCGAATTCCCCTAAGCTGAGATTGTTGTCTCTTTCAGATAAAAGATTGTGAGTGAGACATGAAAAGTAGATAGATGCCCAGGTCCTTTCTATAGAGGCTGCCAAACCTCTAATGCAAAGTCCTGACCATCACAAAATAGGAGTTCTAGGCTTTGTTATCCTTTGTGGATTATCATCCTTGAGTTCTAGATTGATGCTTTATTAAGTTCTCACTCCACTGATATGGTGTATGGCACCATTGCCTGTGGAGGCTCCTCAGAATCCGAAAGCCAGGCCACTAGGATGCAGATTGCATTCACCTTCTCTACCTTTAGACTTACATCTGTGAGATTCTCCTTGACACTAACAATGAAACCTGAGCTAATTGCTTAATCATAAGATCTGAGCAACTTGAGATGAATTCAGGCAGAAGTTGTGTGAGCATCCCAAAGCTCAGCACCATTACATTACCAAGAGTGCTTTCCTAGGGGAGGTTTTCCAGGGAAGGCTGCCTCTGCATGTGGGCATCTTTGGTAGGAAACCATCCACCACTTTCCCTTAGATTATAGAGGTATCCAAAGTAATTCACCTTAGGAAAGGATGGAGGATTATTGTTGAGGCCATAAAGTGTTATCTCACTGAGCCAACTATAATAGCTCATCATTTTAACCTTTGAAATGTCTGTCACATGATACAAAATGAAGGCGAAGAAGGAAGGGAAGGAGAAAGGGAGGGAAGGAGAAAGGGATGGAGAAAGAGTAAAAAGAATTTGAGCAGTATTGTAAATTTCTTCTAAGGAATTACATCATTTAGTTTATAAACCCATCACATTCTTTCTTCATGGTTTTGCAGTTGTGACATGAAACAGAGGGCAGACAGGACCTAGGATGGGTAAGAGGATTTATGGGAGATCAAGAGACAGAATATTAATTCTTATCCAAGAACATAGCTATTACAACATAGGGAACATGATATATTGGCAATCAGGGATTTCTCTGGCAATCTGGTCCTCTTTGCACAAGAATTGAAGGATATGTATTTCCCATGTTAAAGAGGCATCCACATCCTTAAGTAAAATCTTAGAAGCGTGCATGATAGTCTAGATAGAAGGAAGAAAGAAAGGAGTTAATTCAGCATTGTTTAGTATTAGTTTTGGAAATAGATACCTGTGACATATCACAGGCTTTAACCATATACCTGGTCTTCAGTGTCCCCATCCTATTATTAGGACAAACTCTTGGTTTTGTGGGAGGAGTCTCTCCTTTGGAAAGAATTCCTGATCATGTCTATACCATTTGTTATGTTGGTTTTATTATAATGGACCATAGAGTAAACTGCTAAAGATACTTTTAAAATGTGATTGTTTACCCATATCTCCAGCAGGATCTGAGATTTTTTTTTTTTTAAATTTCTCTTTCCTATGGGAAAAACCTGGGTCTCATATACCACATAGGTTTGAGAATATTGCTAAGTCATATGGAGAACTGAGGACAATGTTCTTTGAAGCAAGATTAGAATCACTGTAGGGCAACAAGACCTACACCAAGATGCCACACATTTAACCGGAAAAAAAAATGCATCACATTGCTATAAATCTCTCCAAAGATCTCATTTGTTGGTAATGAAAAAACAAAAATGTAACAGGAAATAATAGGTAATAAGGACTGGAATGCTTCAAATCATTGGGACCACTCATATATTCCATATGCTTTGTAAAAAAAGTAAACATTTTACATCATTCACAAAACAAAACCTTTAGCCTCAGATTTCATTTTTAAAAAGTAGAAATGACCCTGACCCAGGGCAGGCCTCAAAGAAGGAGAACTAGCTTGAGTTCAACAATTGCAAAATTGTCTGTTCTCTGTGCAGTTGTTGATCCAAACAACTTTGCCTAGTGGAAGGAACATTGTTCTTGCAAAATGGCCTTGTCCAAAAAGAAGGACAGCTTATGGGAAATTAGATGGGTTTTCTGTTCAGAAGGATTTTCCCCAAGGCCTTTGCCTTCTCTTCCAAGTCAGACAGACATTTTGTCCCCTTACCATGAACATGTTTTTTCTTTAACTTCATAGATAACTGGGGCTATTCAAAGAGACCTTGTAACAATACTCGTGATTTTCACGTTCTTGGAGGACAGAAGCAAAAGCATGTTTCTCCTCCAAAGATGGACTTACCTCCTCTGCCTACAGAAACTAAACTACTCAGCATGAAATTGTTTTGAGTTCTTACTGATCAGCCCACAGTCACAGGGTCCTCTGGGGGCTGACTATGATGTGATGGCTTCTATTGGCTAGTCTCCCTAAATTTTTCATCTTGTTGTTTATAGGCTTTGGATTTTTTGTGCAAAATAATATATATGTGTATGTATTGTTTTAAATCTTATCTTTTACAAATGATATATTTACAATGATGTATGTATTATAAGAACAATTTAGAACAATGGTTTAAACTTAAAAGGAAGAGAGGTATTGAATTTGGTTTATTTAAAAAAAAAGAGCTGTGCTTCATTTGGAAAGACACAGGTCCCCTTTTGTCCACCTTGTTATTATTTGTTTAAAAGAAATTTGCCTATGAGACCCATGCTATAGGATTAATTATGTCATGTTTTTCTTCATTCTTAACAAATTCTCAGCATGGATTTAGTCCTGGTTCCCCTGAAAACTGTCAGTTTTTATAACAATATAAGTGCAATGTTATATCTGACCTAAAGAGCTATTAAAATTCTGAAGACAAATAAACATACCATAAAAAATTGTGAGATCGACCCCAAGTTAAGAAACACAAATCTAATTCAGGAAATCTCTTTCTCGCTTAAGTATTTAAAATGTTTCTCCTCCAGAGACTTAGTCTGCCCGTGATGTAAATTCCCCATTATGGTTAACATCATATCTGTAAACATCTCACTAAAGGCAAAATGAAGTTCACATTTACGTGCATACCAGTGGGAAGAAAAGTAAACTATTCTCCTTTGCATTTAGCTATGCTGTTCAAATGTCACCAACTGAACCTCAAGAAAGAATTTGGTTTTGCCCACAATGTATATCACTTTCCTCTTGGCAAGGCTGCTGGTGTTAATATTAGGTTTAGGTTTAGCATTCACGCCAGCGAAATGTTTATGGATATTGTAGAAAACTTATTTTAAAATCCTGATTTCTCGTCAGCACATTTGCATACCGTGCTGATTAATAAATTAGGCACCAATCATGTGTAAATCAATGTAAATCACTAGTTTATATACATAATATAAACTATGTAAACTTCATTTTTCATGCAGAGCCCAAGTTCAGCTAAACCTATAAATCTTAAAGAAAAAGAAGTAAAATAAGAAGAAGAAAAACCAAAGCTTTTTATAGGTCAAACGTCAAGACAAAAAACTGAAGTTCCAAACATGGTTGCCTTAGCCAAAGGAAGCAGACACCCAGACCCCTTAGAGGCAGTTCCAGCCAAGTACAAATGGTTTTCCTTAGCTCCTTCTGCCTCACTGAAGATTCCTCAGCCTGACCCAACCAATCCTAGGCAAATTGGAAGATAGAGGAACAGGGTGTGAAGGACTCCTGTGCCCCAGGTCATTGATTTCTTGTCAGCTAATATATATTTTATTGTATTTTAGTTAAATAACTCCACCAGATTCACAAATAATTACATGAACGAGTTATCACACATCCCCCCCCCCCTTTTTTGGGTCTGTTTTACACTTAACCACACTCATAAAACTTCTTTGTCATCCTAATTTGAATAAGTTATGTGATGTAAGAAATATGTTATATCCTTGAGAAATACCTTGCTGAAGCTCCCTGCTTTTTTTATATTCTCTGGTAGCCCCATGTATCTACATGCCCATGGGTTATAAAGAAGGCACAGAGTCATCTGAATAGGGAGTTTCAGCCACAGGTTTTACCCCAGCCTTTCTGAAGTGCCTACTGATTTAACACAATGTCCTGCACACCATTCTTCTTAATCAAAACAACTGAGAGAGTCATCAAAGAGATTATATGAATGTCCGACAAGACTATTCTAGAAGGAAATTTGGGTCACATTGATGAGAGGCTTCCATTCGTCCACCCAAGACAAAAGGCCTCTGCAAAGTGAAAGGTGTATTAGGAGTCAGGAAAATTGGGTTGTTGCTCTGGGTCTTGCCACACAAAAAAGCCATGTGATATTGACGTTGGCAAGTTATTTCACATCCCCAAGTTTTTAATTTTCTTGTTCCAAAGGTAAAGAATTTAAATGACATTCCATTAGCCTCTTCCACCTCTAAACTCTGATTCTGAATATGAATTGAAAATTCATTAAGTATTGTCACCCACATGAGGACCCAAGCAGAGCCACTTGCTGGTCTCTGGTTTCCTCTCAAAACCATCCTCCACAACATAGCATCTTCTAGAACACAGAGTCTCTGGACTGATTCCATGTTTCTCTTCGGAGCAAATTTTCTTAGACTCGCAGAGGAAGGACATTTTCTTATTAAAGTTAAGGCACCAAAATAGCTGAGGTGGCTTCCTTGCTCATGATATTGGGAAATGTGACTGTTGAACTGTAGCCTAATAGCCTTTCATAGGAAGGAAAATGTCCAGATTGGGCATTATGTACGTAACAAATGAGGAAGTTGCCCGTGTGAGAGGAAACATCCGCTTTCTCTCATCCTGGGCCAAACGCTTCATTATGGTAAATGTGTGTCACTGGAAATTCTTGGCTGGTCCCAAGCAAGTTCAAAAAGCTGTTCTGTGAGAAACAAGCAAGGGAGGGGGTTTCTTACAGAAGTTTCCTGAAACTTGACTAATAGGCTGTGGAATCAAGCAAGTGGATAGAGAGGCCTCATTTGTTAACAGCTCAGACTGGTACAGTTTTACAGCAGATAGGTGGGAAATAGGACACAAAAGCCTACGAGGAGGCACGGTTGAAGGGAGTGAGAGTCGTAGAAGCTAAAACCGAATATGAAAGTTAAGTTTCCAGAAAGGGAGGCCAAGCAAGAACAGTTGCTTGAGACAGTATACGAGGGGTTGTTCTGTTGGGCCACGTACTGGGCAGACTCAACACAGGTCCACTTGTTCGTCCCACCCTGTCTTCAACATTCAGCCTACTGCCCGTCCAGTCACCTTTTCATGAATCTCCCCAAAGAGCACAAGGAATAGGGGTCTCCTGGACACTGAAGAGCAGAGTTTATTCATCACTTCCAGCATTAGTGTCACTTTAGATGGGGATGTTCAGTGGGCTTACTGTACTCAGGACACGCTGTAAGTGGGAGAGAGACCCACCCACCGAACACCTCCCCAGGTCCATCCTTGTTTCCAAGGCACAGCTTTTTGGATGGTGCTCATGAGTCCACCCTACAGCTACCTTCTTCTCGATACAAACCCTTTCCCGTGTAAATCCAGGCACAGTAACTCTCTGCTTCTTGCAAACGAAGAAAACCCCACGGAGCTAGCTTCCTGGCGTGCCGCCGCTGCCCCTGCCATCCGTCGGGAGCCTCTTGGAACCAACCCACTTACCTAGGCCTTTGCTCTTCACCAGAGAATGAACATGGCTTACCCTGGTGAACTTTGGCCAAGTTCTGCTCCCTAAGTATTTGCTGGGACGGGGGAGGCTGGAGGGAGGAAATAACAAGGGGAGGGACGGAGACCTGCATCTTCTCCCCAGCCTCGCTTCACCCCTCCTTTTCCATTGCTCTCCTGAAGGTTGTATAAATCCTGTTCTTGGTTAGAAGTCTCCTCATTAACAGTGTTATATACATATAAATATATATATAAAATATATTCCTTTTTCCAGCCCTGTAGACATGAACTGATCTTCCCTTGATGATACAAACACATGGCCATTTTTTTGTTTGTTTGTTTTGGTTTGTTTGTTTTGTTGCTCAAGTTATTTTGTTTTTGTTTATTGGGTGGATATTTTTTCCCTGAATACTAGCTCTGTGAAGGAAAGTAAAAAGCGCAATGTGTGTAAAAAAAATTAAAATTAAAAAAAGCCTTTTTTTTCCTTTTTAAATGTATTTAAATTCTGGTTCTTTCTTCTGTTACTTTACACGTATGAATGCTCTGCTCTTCTGTGATCTTAAAACAAAATGAAATAAACGTGAAAAGGAGATGTGTCTTGGTTGACGTGAGTCCAAGTGATCTTGGGGTTGGCGGCCCTGTTTCTGGGAGGTTTTAGTGACTAGCTCAGGAAATGAAGCCAATGATAGCAAACATCAAGCAGGGGGAGGCAGACAAAAATACTGGAAAATTGCTGCAAGGCTTTCGGACAGCGCTTCCTCTGCAGAATGTGCTATTTACCATAATTGTCTTCCCCTAAGAAAAAGCAAAGAGACTCCCTGATACTTTGTTTTCCTCTGTCTTCGTTTAGGGCTAATAAGAAAAATATGAGCAAATTAACCAGTGGGAAGCTGCAGAGGAAGGAGGCACTGAGCAGCTCCTGAGTGAGAACTTGAATGGTCTTTGGGGTGAGACACCTAGAGGATCTCATGTCCTTTCCTTAATGTCTCCATTTCTGGAGTTGTTCTTAAGGGGTAGCTTGAATGAGACCCTAAGTTTCCTCTCAAAGCTGCCTATTCTTTCTACCTATGAAAATACAGTATGCTCTCTATTCTTGCTCAAAGATAGCATCACAAAATAGTCCCAGAAACTTCACAGAATCCTTAGAGCATCACTTAGGACAGACAAAAATTAGAAAGAGAAAAAGAAGAACCAAGCAGCTCACAATTAAAGAAACTGAGGTTGACTAATAATTTCTCAAAAATGATCAAGAGGGTCCATAGTTTATTCTTAGCAGTCCAGTCAGGTCTAAAACACATTCAAGAGAATCAGAGATCCCAGTCCTAACTTGGCTCCTTCATGAAGGAGTGAAGGAATGAGCCTTTATGCTTAGCTCCCATAAAATGAAATGGAAAAAGCAAGTTTTTTCCTTCTGCCCTGTGGTTCAAGGAGACAGCAGAGAGAACTAGCTTCCACATATTTGAATTTCATTAAAAAAAGGAAAGGAAGGAAGGAAGGAGGAAAGAAAGAAAGAAAGAGAGAGAGAGAGAGAGAGAGAGAGAGAGAGAGAGAGAGAGAAAGGGAAAAAGGGAGAAAGAGAGAAAGAGAGCTGGGTGGTGGTGACACATACCTTTAATCCCAGCACTCAGGAGGCAAAGGCAGGTAGATCCTTGAGTTCAAGGCCACTTTGGTCTACAGAGTGAGTTCCAGGACAGCCAGGGCTACATAGAGAAACTCTGTCTCAAACAAAGAAACAAACAAAACAACAAATAAATGAATAAATAAGGATCAGAAAAAGCCATTCTACAATGTGTTTATCAAACTTCTGTACCAGCAATAAGATTGTGATGATGTGATAGCCTTTTGCTGTGATCAGCTGACTACACGCACCACAATGGGGACGAATGATTCTGGCAGTATCTCCACGCCCAGTAGTACAAAAGAATGATTTGAAGGATTCAGAAAAGCCTTGGCTCAGGATTTTATTATTACAAAAGAGTACACAGAGAACCAGTCAAAGGGAAGGTCTAGTGGATGAGTCCCTGCATATGAAGAGTCATTGATTGTGCTCATGCAGTAAGAGGCATTACAGTCTTAGCACATGGACATATTTTTAACCAGAGAAGGTCAACTGAGTTTGAGTGTCCAAAATTTATTTATTGTTGTTGTTCTTCTGAGAGTTCACTACATAGGCATGGTAGATTGCTCTTTGGACACATGCTAGAATGTAACCTCCAACTCCTTTCTATGACCCAGAGGTCGGGCTGATATAAAACACTAACTGGCTTAAATACCACAGTTTCAAGCTGAGATTTCTAACATGGCCATCCTCCAGATGAGCTACCATCAGGTGTGCTCCTGTGAGGCCAATATCAGTAACACAGAAAAGAATCCTAAGGAATCCAGGACCTGGGGACAGGATTCAGCCAACAATTTTTACTTTCTATTACCCACTATTATAAAAAGTCATCTGGAGACTTTCTCAGATGACCTGAAGTGTTGGTGGGGGTTTTTACTCTTTTGGGGGCCTGCCACCAAGCTCCCAGATAAATCACACACAGAGGCTTATTCTTAATTATGAATGTCCGGCCTTAGCTTGGCTTGTTTCTTGTCATCTCTCCTTAACTTTAAAATAACCCATCTACCTTGTGCCTGTGGTCGTTTCCCATTCTCTTACTTCTGTAAATCTTATGGTTACTCCATGACTTGCTGTGTAGCTGGATGACTGGTCTCTGATGTGCCTCTCCTTCTCAGGCTATGTCGTTTCTCCTCCAGATTCCTCCTTCTATTAATTCTGTCTGCCTCCTAGCCCTGCCTATCCTTTCTCCTGCCTCGCTGTTGTCTGCTCAGCTTTTTATTAGACCATCTGGTGTTCTAGACAGGCACAGTAACACAGCTTCACAGAGTTAAACAAATGCAACATAAACAGAAGTAACACAGCTTAAAATAATATTCTACAACACTGAAGTTTTGTTTCCATTAATCCACAGAAGCTTCAGGGGTTGAAAGCTAACACCTTCTTGAATCTTTGTGATCACTACAAGCTCAGAAGAAATTCTCTGATTTACCCCTTTTCCGCTGCTCTCTTTACATCCACCCGTTTTAATGAATGTTTAACAGAGTCTACGAGAACTGTAAGTTAGGTGAATCTGTGACTTCCAGTCTAAGGAAGGTGTGGTCTTCCTCACCTTTGTGATCCTCTTACACCTAGTTTGGTACTCAATCCATAGGTTGGGCTTACCAAACACTTGCCAAAATAGAACTAAGAATTGTTCAGTTCCTCCAACAAAGCTGGCGCCTATGTAATGCGTTTTCCATCAGCCACCATCACATTATCACTATAGGAGATTTCTGAATCCAAGTCTATGACATGGACCCTTCCCTCACATACAGAGCACATGGAAAACATGGAAGCCAATAACCGGTCAACACAAATAGCCCAAGGCCTTCTCTCCACTTTGATTCTTAAATTCTTTTCTTTTGCCCCTTAAATTAGTCAAAGCTTTGTCCTAGTCCAAGGATACCAAATTGATGAAGGTCTCAGAACCAGGAATTGTGTCCTGGGACATGCATTGCAAGAAGTCACCTCACCTGGCCACTCTGGCAGACCCCTTCTTTCTCCGGAAGGTATTGCTGACCAGTTAGTTCTTGAGTTTGAGAAATCATGGCATTTATTTGTTTTTCTCTAAAGGCAGAGTAAAATGTAGCTATTTTCTCTTTATTTTGCATTATTCTGGGTCTTCTCTTCTTACCTTTGCCCATCTCCCATTCCCATATAACTAGGAAATTCACTGACCATATAATAAAAAGCTTCTATTTCTCAAAAAAAATAAAAACAAACAACCTCTGAGTTTCTGTTTAACTAAAGAAGGCAATTCTTTGAGGACACACAGATTCCAGGGGTAAACCTGCCTGGAGATCCGGTAATGAAGAAAACGTTAGAGAAAGAGAAACTGAGGTTACAGCCCTGGGCAGCTCCTGTGGGAGTCACATGACACTGTCACACAGATGTAGTACAGTCTCAGTCACCACAACATGGATTCTACCCAGAGACTCCCACAAGTTAGTGGCAAGTTAGTCTCTAGGTCCTTGGACTACGAACAGACTTTTCTGATCTCATTATCTTTTGGCTTTTAGACAATTAGCACAATCCACACTATGGAGATATATTTTTAATTCTTAACAAAAACACCCTTAGGTTCTATACGGTATCAGGAGACTGTAGAGACTTTGGATAATATTTGAGCAAATTATTAAACAAAAGGAAACAAACAAAAATAAGAATCTCATAATCAAGAAGACTAAGAATCCTTTCTAGATGGGGACATTGCCTCCATGAAAAATAGTTGGGTCATGCCTTGAAAAGGCTCCTTTTAAGCCGACTTTGTCAGTACAGACCTGTAATTCTAGGATAGGGCAGTGGAGGTAGGAGGGTCAGGAGTTTGATGTAGAATGATTTTGAGGCCAGCCTAGGTTAAACAATACCACATCTCAAAAAGAAAATAGGAAGGAAGGGAAGGAGGTCAGGAGGGAGGGAGGAAGAAAGACTGCCTCGTAAACATACACTCTGGATCTAGCCAACCTCTCCTCACTTTCACAACTTCCCCATTCCTTGCACCAGCCAGCTACAGTTGTACCTGCAGACTCTTTGGGTTTTTTTTTTAATGATTCATTTTTATTTTTTATGTGCATTGGTGTTTTGCCTGTGCATATGTCTGTGTAAGGGTGTCAGATTCCCTGGAACTGGAGTTACGGACAGTTGTGAGCCGCCATGTGGGTGCTGGGAATTGAATCTGGATCCTCTGGAAGAGCAACAAGTGCTCTTAATGTCTGAGCCATCTCTCCAGCCCCTGAGCCATCTCTCCAGCCCCCTGGAGACTCTTCACCAAGCCAGGTGATCTCCGGAGACTTTTGTCACTCTTACTCTGCACCCACATTGTATAGCTTTCAGACTGTGTCCTGAATGTAATGACTGATACAACCCAAAAAGACACTCAGGTCTTGCTATACATCAATCCTATCTTACAAATTCCATTTTCCAGAGACGGCTCAAGCCTAAGCCAGGCCTCTTGTTCTAGCAGATGAAGATTTCTTGTTCTGTGTAACAATATCTTGGCACTTTCCTCCCTTAATCACAATGGATGATAGAATAATGCTACTATCAAATAGCTGAACAACCAAGAATCCCAATTTACCAATTTTGCCTCACACCCTGATTGCACAAGAGAGGGAAAAAAGGAAAACAAGCCTCTAAACAGGGTTTGTGTTGATAGCACAGGCCTGTGCACGGTGAAGGCACATCATCTTTCTGATTTGAAGCACTACATGGAAAACACATTCCTCACCTTCACAAAGACCTTTTGAAAATATGGAATAATGAAGTAGATGTTAAAATAAAAATGCCCGGTGGTTACAGTCAGAGTTTCCATTAACATTTCAAATGGTTATTTTTAATGGTACATTTAACTAAAGCTAACTTATCCATGGGAAAAAGAATGTGGCCATTAAGATCGGCATCTGTTGAACAAACTGAGGTTCCGCGTTCAGTGGTGCGTGCTTTTATAACAGCAAGAATATTACACGCTAACAGCAGACTCATTAGCATTAATTGCTGCATTTAGTCCCACTTAAAACCTCCTGTATCTATAACATTTGCTAAATGCATCATCCATTTTGGAAAAAGAAACACCCTACAATGTTATCACATGAGAAACAACACAACCAAACCCAGACAGGCATGGGGGTTATAGTGATGAGAACAGCGTCACCCTCCACTTACAGTTGCACAGTGGAGTAGAAACACTGTAGCTTGTGGGAACCTGAACTTGAAAAGGTGCCTAGGGAGGAGGGTCCTTCAATGGGAGTTGTGGAAAAAAGTCTTGAGAGATGTGACTACACAGAGTCCAGGCACTGTGCTGTCCAACCATTTGCTCATTCATCTTCCAATCTCCAGGTGGGGGATACCTGGGGACCAGGCAACATGTTAGTCCAGTTGCTTTCTCCACCAGAAAAGAAATACCATGAAGGGTGTTCAGGAGCAGAGCTGAACTCTATTTGGAAGTTAAGGTACATAGAAACAGGCAAGGAATAAATTGACAGCAATGAATTTAAAATGTTGAGAATAGCCATAACCTATTTCTTTACAGTTTGATTGGTTCTTTGAGAATTTCATACAATGTGTTTTGATAATATTCACCCCCTCCTCCTGTTTCTCTGAGATCGAATCCCCCTTTCCCTGCCTCCCCAACTTTGTGTGCTTTTTTGTTTGTTTGTTTTTAAACCCATGAAGTCCAATGTGTCACTGTATGTCATTGTAGGATATGTGGCCTTCGACTGGAACCCCCTCACACACTGTATGTATTGGTTTCCTGAGTTCTATGAACCAAAGGAAATGCTATTATTTGCAGTATTCTGCACTATTTGGTTCTGGAAACCTGACTTGGGGGAGGTGGTAATGAAAACAATGACAGACACTGAAGACAGGACTGAGCCACCTGCAGGGAAGCTGGGATCAGGTGGGCTGGGCTCTCTGCCTGAGGGCACCTACTCCACAGCCTGGAAACTGGGCACATTTACTAAGGACACCACAAGAAGAAGGGCCTAGCTTGTCTCACTGGGAGTGCTCTGTAGGGGAGCATTCTCAGCCTGTAAGAAGGGGGAATCTGCAGTTGTAAGGTTTGGCACACATGAATCAGTCATAAACACTCCTACTTGGACCAGAGGAAGGCTTTGCTATTTTGAGCCTCACTTGGGGGAAGACTTTACCATTTCCATGGGTCTGAGACATTGAGATCTACCACATGGCTGTGCCCAGGTCAACAATGCACATTCACTCAGGACTTTACCC